TTTGTTTTTATTATAATTTTAAAGCTCTAATAATGTTATTTTTATCTAATTATTTATTCATATTTCATTTTTTTGTTTTTTACTTGGGAGTCATAGGCTTTGTTTGCTAAAGTTTCATGCAAACTCTTTTCTCATAACACTTTATCTTAAAAAAAGGTAAGTTTTTTTAATTTTTAATTAGTGTTTTATATAATTGTATTAAATTATTAGTTAATAATTATTTTATTATCTTTATCTTAAAAATTAATAAAATATAATATAAATTTTAAACTCTAATATAAAAAATTAAAAAATAACCCGTGCAACGCACGGGCAAAAAAAAACTAGTTCAAACTATAAAATAAAAGCTTCTTTTTATTTTGTATTGCACATTAGAGGTAATTTTTTCTTGTACTTAATCTACTATATCTACATATTATATGGTTCAAAATTAGAATATTCTATTTTCATCGAAAAAATTATTAGTGAGATATTTAAATTGTTTGTATTGTAAAATGAATGGACTTTTTAATCATTAAATCATGTTGAAAAATAAAAAGGTTTATATAAGAGTTAAAACTAATGTCACATATATTAATTTAATTAATTAATTAATTAAATTAAATTTAAATTTTATTTTTATATATAATTTAATAAAGAAAAAGTATATTAATTAAATTTAATTGAATTTTAATTAAATGTTAATTTTGGTCCCTCCACTTAATATTTTGCATAATTTTTATCTTTTGACTTTTTTTATACTTTTTTAATCCATTAACTATGAAAAATGTACTTTTTAGGCATTTTGTCAATTAATCTGTTAAGTCTATTTACACTTTTTTAATTTCTCAACTTCTAATATATATACATTTTTCGTCTCTCAAATTAGAGTTAAGGGACTAAAAATATACAAATTTAGATAGATTTAACAAATTCACTGACAGAAAACTAAAAAAATACATTTTTCATAATTAAAGGATCAAAAAAATACAAAAAATAGTTGATAAATAAAAATTATGTAAAATTTTAAAGTTAAGGGACCAAAATTAACATTTAATCTTAAATTTTTAGCTTATACTAAGAAAAATTCAAATAAAAACTAGTTCGTAATGGAGATTTAGGTATAATATAAGAGATCTACTCTTATCCAATAATTTAAATTATGCATTACAGTATTTTTTAAAAACTTTTTAATTTTAATTACCGAACAGAAAAAAAAAAAAAAAGGAAACAATAAATTAGGGGCTACAATGAGTGTTGGAGGACAACGAAGCATTAATTAACTGAGTAATTTTTATTGAGGTGCGTAAAAACTAATGATACCTTAACCATAGAAAAAAACAAAAGGGCTTTCTAAAATCTTTTTAATGATATTTTACTTATGAACCATACATAATCACTTTAATAGTTTAATGCAACATTATCCCATATTACTCTGTTTTCTTAAGCCATCAATAATTTCATTTTTTTAATTGTAAAGGTATTTTTAGATTAGTTTATAAGCACATTGAAACTAATTTTTTTAATATGATTTTAAAAATATATTTCTCATATTAATTTGGTGCATTTTTGTTTGGCTCCAAAATTTAAACCATATATAACGCCTATTGGTAAAACCAATATTGAGGTTAAGACACTATAAAATAATTGTGATTTTTTGTAAAGTGCATAATGCTGTTTTTTTTTTCTTTTTTCTTTTTGAAAATCTACACAGCTTAATATTACATAACAATTAATTTAACATTATATAATTAATTCTTTTTATTTGCACGCTATATATAATATATTAGATATTTATTTATTTAATGTCACATTTATATATAATATCACCTCATGTTATCTTGCTCATAATGTTATCTTGCTTATAAGTAAATCTAACTTTTTGCTAATACAATAGAAAATAATTATAAATTTTTATGAAGTCCCAGATGCAGTCATTTTTTGTTTGATAAAATCTAGGTGTGCAATGTCACATTACAGCTAATTTAGTGTAATATATATGATTAGTTTTTTTTTTTTTTTTTAATTTAAGAACTACAGTGTGATATTATATGCAAAACTTATTTAATGTCATGCCACCTTGTTTTGCTTATAAATAGATTCAATTTTGAGGCTAAGAATACTAAAAAAATATATGATAACTTATTATATGTGTGCATAACTTATTATATATATGAATAGTTTTACTATTCAGGAGTTATGAATGATATTATATATAAATTTATTTAATCTCATGTCACATTATTATTATTTTTTGAAATGTCACATTATTTTGCTTACAAGTAGATCCAATTTTGAGTTAAAACACTAAAAAATAATTATAATTTTTTGTGAATGGTAGGATAAATAACCTTTTTTTTGGGAAAATCTACGCACACAATATCACGTGATTGTTAATGTTTTTTTTTTGGTAGAAACGTGATTGTTAATTTAGTATTATATGATTAGCATTTTTTTTTATTTGAATACTATGCCTGATATTATATATTGACTGACTCATTTATTGCTACGTTACATTATGTGTGTTGTATTTCTGTTTTGCACAGAATAAGAGTACAACCTCTCTCATTTAGAAATATTTTGTTGTATCTTGGGATATCACTTATATAGTATTTTGGATCAATAAAAACATGTTAAATGATCGATAAAATGTGAAAAAAATGTTAAAATGATATAATTTTATTGACAGGAGATACCATTAATATGGTATCTCAAGATACAGCAGAAGGTCTTTTAGACTTGTGCATTGAAAAAGAAGTTAAATATTAAGGCTTTGATTGGAGTGTTATGCAATAATGTGGTAGCAGTTTTTTATTTTTATTTTTGTCCTTTTTATATAAAAAAGTAAAATATTAATTAAAATTACTAAAAATATATAAAATATTAATTAAAATTAATTATTTATAATAAATATATATAATTTA